TATATATATGTATGTTTAATTTTTTTTACTAAAAATCATGCATGAGTGTTGCTACATCAACTATTATAGCTATATTATAGCCTCAACTATATTATAGCCTGAATTGCAGCAGAGTGCTGCCATATCGACTGACAAATATTATATATATGTTTATATATATATATATATATATATATATATATATATATATATATATATATATATATATATATATATATATATATATATACATATATATATTATATATATATATATATATATATATATATATATATATATATATATATACATATACATATACATATATATATATATATATATATATATATATATATATATATATATATATATATATATATATATATATATATATATACATAATACTCTTTTTTCCTCTTGATTCTTAATTTTTATTTTTTTTTTGTTCATCAAGGATCTAAATAAATCTCTTTCAAGTAAAAAATGGCCATCAGGTCATTGTACTCAAGTTACTGCATTATGTCAACGCTCTTTTATTGAAGCTAAAAGTGAAGTATGAGATAAGTTAAGCTTTATACAGGTACTTTTAAAGTATTATAGTCAATTTATTATCAGCAAAATGTTTTAATCTTGACATCATTCAAAGATTTTTATTATAAATGATGTTGTTTTAATTTTAAAATGTTTTTTTTTTCTTTTTTCTTTTTTTTTTTTTCAGTTTTTTTAATTTTTATTTTTTACATACAGGAATAGTTTTTATGTTTTTATAGTTTTTATATTATTATACGAAAACTTAAATTGTTGAAGATGCCTCGAAGCTGCTTTTATATTTAAATAAGTTTTAGTGACTGCACCCTTTTCCATAAGTAATTTATGTGGTATGCATAATTATATTAGTTAGATATATCAAGTTAAAACTAGATGGTCATAGCACAAAATTTAAATTTTAAGAAATAATATCTGCAAATGTTTATAATTATATATTCTAACCATTTTGCAAGAAAAACTTAAAAAGTATTTTCATGTATTTTTGATTTTTACATATACTTGTTTTTAGGTCATTTTTGTAGCAATTATTGCAGGCTTAGTATGGTTAAATACACCTTACTCAGAATCATCTATATCTGATAGACAAGGAGTGGTAATAGATGGTTTTTTTGTTTAGTTGTATGATTAATTAGATTATACAGTCGACATATTTTTATGCTATTTTGTAATACAAAAATATATATTTTTACAAATTAAAATTAAAATCACAATTTGTAAGCTTAAAATTAAAGTTTGTAAAATACTTAAGGACTTGAAGTTACTTGAGGTTAGTTAATTTTTTGCTTTTTTGTTTAGATTTTTTTTGCTTTGACCTATATATTTACGCGTCAATTGATGCATTTTATCATGACATGTAGGTAAACTTTTTCTTATGGTATCTAAGTCAACATTTTATTATTGTATCCAAGTAATCATTCTGTTATGATGTCTAAGTAAACATTCTATTACAGTATATAAGGAAATAGGTAAATACTCCATAAAAATTGAATTCATTATTGAATTGATAATGAAAAAAGATAAAATGAGTTCTTAAATAGTAAAGTTTTTTAATAACTAATTTATTATAAACAGCATTTTGAGTATAAGTATTTTATTTTGTTAAGTCTATTTAATAATATGTAAAGTCTAAATGTTTACAACATGTTTACACAACATATGTGTTATACAACATGTTTACACAACATATGTGTTATACAACATGTTTACACAATATATGTTATACAACATGTTTATGCAACATATGTTATACAACTTTTTTGCACAACATATGTGTTATGCAACATGTGTTATGCAATTTTACTAGTTATTACTTCCAGTTTTTTAATCTCTTATTTTACATGTTAGTGAAAGCTAGTAATATGGTTGTTGCATTTTATATTTGGGGAAAAATGTATTGTATTTATTTTTCAGTTCCTGCAGAAAATAAAGTTATTGCCAAAGAACGTTTGTCTGGTATGTATCGTCTTTCTGCATACTACACTGCAAAAAATGTAGTTGACCTTCCAGTTATGATATTACCACATGTTATCTTGTACACGATAATTTATTGGTCAGCTGGACTCAATTGTTCTCCTGTTTTTTTGCTTCGAATATTTACAGTTATTTTGACAACAGCACTTTCACAGGTTAACTTTGTTTTTTATGTTCCTAAAAGAAATTAGTATAGATATTTAGTAATAATGGGTGGATTTTATGAAAGCATTTAAAAAATTTCATTTTACTAAATATTTGATTATTACTTTTAAATATATCCTCCAGTAGTTTATCTTCTGTTTGCTCTCTTTTTTTTTTTTTTTTTTGATGAGGAGGAGGAAATGGAGTTAAAAACTATAATATAGGATGATTATCTGCTACATTTTTGGTATAAAAACTTATTATAAATATAACTGTGCATACCACCTACAAAGCTCAAGTTGAAAAAAGTATAAACCTTAGAATTAATGTTGAAAAAAAAAATTTATGTTTTTTCACACTTGCTTAGTTAAACAGTTACTTTTTTGAAAAAGTCAAAAATAATTTTGAACTATTTATGCTGTTTTATTTCTATTATTTTATAATCTAAACAAAAGAACATTTAAAATTAATAAAACCATCAAAAGATTTAGATAGATATAAAAAAAAATTTTTTAGAGCGTCTTTAAACCTAGCAAACATTCTCTCATTGTAAGCATATAAATGTTAGCTAGCTTATACTTTAGAACAATGTTGTTGAAACTCTAAAAACAATGATATTGTGCTAACTATATAATTATCACGAATCTTGACATTATCTTCAAAACCTTAGAAGATCTTCCAAATCAGATTTCAAAACTGTGTTTTAATTAAATGCAAGTTTTAAATCCAACTTTATGAACCAAAACAAAACTCTTACAAAATGAGTTGAGTGTAAGTTTAAACAAAAATATATTACAAGTTACAAAGGGGTAAATTGATTTTTGAATAAATTTTATTGGATTTTCCGCCCACTTATTTTGAATAACTCTTAAATATTTAGGTAATTAATGTTTTAGCAATAATAAAATATAGTGCAAGAAATCATTGTCAATTTTAAATTGCATCAAAAGTTTATTGAACAATAAAATTGTTTGGAGATTGTTTAAATAATTGTAAAACATTTGAAGGAAATGTTTTATGATTTGTTCGCCTTGAAGTATTATAGAAAAAAAATATCACATTAAACCTAAATGAATTGATTTATTTTAGTTTTTTTTTAAATTAAAAATGTCAATGAGAAATGAAAAAGAAGGCTGCAAAATGTGAGGAAGTAACTGAAGTTTCAATCAAATTTGAACTTGAAATTCAAATGAACAAATTTTTTTCTCCGCGCAGCAGCCTTGTTCATAAAGGTTCGTGTTTTAGATTTAAAGAGTTAAGAGAGGGTTGTAACCACAAAAAGATACCCTCCTTGACTGTAGTGGCCTTCTCGGCCTTGGGAGATGAATAACATAAAAGATAAAAAAGTGATAAAAATCGTATTGCCGAAAAAAATTATTATTAAAAAACATGTAAAAATGCACCTTTTTCACTTTTAGTTAAATCTCAATTTGTAAAAATGTTTGAATAAAAATTGTGATAATGTATTTCCAAATTATGATTAAGATATTGGTAAATTTGCTCTGATAGCTCTTGTTGTTGGTTATGATAGTTAATATTAATAGTTAATAAATAATATTTTTTATTTAATAATAGTAGTTAATAATTAGTTTAATTAATAATATTATAGTTATAATGTTAATGTTGGTTATAATAGTTTTTAAATAAAAGTAATAAAATATATTTTAAAAAATCCAAGAAAACCCAGGTTACCCGGGTTTTACTGGGGGTTTTTAGGTGGGTTTTATTGAGTTTTCTTGAGCAGGTTTGTCAATGCCAACCCTGGACACCATGCACTAAATAGTATTGGTATGAGTTAGTTTTTCCTAATAATATCGTTTGAACTTTCCCATCAATCATTGTAAGTTCAATAATACAATTCACTTCAATAGAAGATCCGCAAACAGCTAATAAAATCATACCTAAGCTTTCTATCTGATTTTTAATGTACTGATCTTCTTCAAGCACAGATTCCTTGAATTCCGTTTTGTATGCAAATCTTAAGGGTCTGCAATTTGTTGTGGATGATGACTTGAGTTCTCCAAATAGGCACCTTTTAATTGCTGTTGTTAAATCCAGTTAAATCCAATGGGGCTAGACAAGTAATAAATAACAATTCTTCACGTTTAAATCTTTGTTTATGTCAGGTTCTTACAAAATTTGTTTACATACATACATATATATATATATATATATATATATATATATATATATATATATATATATATATATATATATATATATATATATATATATATATATATGTATATATATATATATATATACGCATAAAAATGGAAATACCCTATATATATATATATATATATATATATATAAATAGTAAACTGCAGGTTATTCAAACCTCTAAAGGGATCAAAAATATACTTCGAAAACCAAAAGTTTGAAAAACTGATAATCTTCTTTAAACTAACCTATTTCAAGTTACTATCAAGTTTAATAGAATTAGAGAGTTAAAAAAAAAACTTTGGAATAAGATGCTGTTTAAGCCTTTACCTTCTAAAAAAACAAGTTTAAAATAAAAAATAAAATCTCAACAATTTTTGAAAAAATTGTCCATTTTCAAATGTTTTTGAAAAATGTTTATTAATCATCTTTTATACTAGGCTTAGCGATTGTCAAATTTTGACGTTGTTATTTTCAAAAAGATACCAACATTTAATTAAATTTATTGCACATACAGTATCTGATTATTTTGGCTTTACGGGAGGTAAATTGTTTAACTCTTCGCCTATCTTATCTACCTCAGCAAATCCCTTGATTAAAATGGAATCCAGAATTTCTCGATCTTTGATAGCAATTGCTTCGCTTGTACAAATATCGAAATCTATGTTTTTGTGATATTTAACAGCAAAATCTTTATCTACTAAACCATGTGATATAACCTTGTTAACATTCTCTTCAAGCAATTCGAAAGTATTATCTTCACCATTTATACTTGTATTTCCTGCGAGATGCCTGTCTCAATTTATTACAGTGTTTGTCGATACAGCATCCCATGACTTGACCAAAATGCTCATAACTTCAAGAATGTTGATATTTGGGGTCATTTTACCAGCATGTATTTGATCTGATGCCTCACAAAATTTGTGCAATAAAAAAAGCCTTAAATACCCTTATGACTCCCTGTTCCATTGGTTGAGGTTTAGAGGTTGTGTTTGATAGTAAAAAAACTAATTCAATTACTTTGAGATTGTCAACACTAGAATTAGCTGTCAACACTAGAATTAGCTGTCAACACAAGGATTAGCTGTCAACACTAGGATTAGCTGTCAACACTAGGATTAGCTGTCAACACTAGGATTAGCTGGGCAGTTATCTATGGTTAGAAAAACTTTTGTAGTCTCAGCATTAAACTTTGTGTTAAACCTTCTTACATAATCAGTAAAAAATTTCATCCATCCAGGATTTATTTTGGGACTTTTACTGAGAATTTAGGCTTCTAACACCTTTAAAACAATGTGGTTTTTCTGCTTTTTTAATTATAAACAGAAACAGCATTTCACCAACCCCATTTCCTGTTGCTAAGCCTGTTAAACAAACTTTGCTCAATTTTCATCCTGCACATCATTTTCCTTTTAGATGAAAAGTTTTTGGTGGAGGCTGTTAACAAAAGAAAATAAACTTGACAGTGTTGGAAATATTCTTCAATTCATACCTTGAAAGAATTGTGGACAAATGGGTGTTCTCCCAACTTGATATCTTTTCCACTGTACATGACCTTCCCTAACCAGAAATAGTTCAAAAACAACATTATGGCTATTTTTACACTGATCAAATCACCCTTCTGAAGCCTTAAAATCTGCCATGTTAAGTTCTATTGCTAAATCTAAAGCTTTGTTCCTAGTGTCCACCACACATTGTTTTTGTTTTTAGGTGCTTCAAGAAGTCCTTACGGTCTATATATATATATATATATATATATATATATATATATATATATATATATATATATATATATATATATATATATATATATATATATATATATATATATTTGTTATTCACCTCCTCAAGGCCGAGAAGGCCACTACAGGCGAGGAGGCTACTTAATAGTGGTTATAACCCTCTCTCAACTCTATAACTCTGAAACATGAACCTTGACAAACAAGGGCGCTGCGCGGAGAAACAAGTTAAGCGTGGTACTATGAAGCGAGTGTTTTACCACTACACCACTACCGCATATAAATATATATAAATATATATATATATATATATATATATATATATATACATATATAGATATATATATATATATATATATATATATATATATATATATATATATATATATATATATATATATATATATATATATATATATATATATATATATATATATATATGTATATATATGTATATATATATATATATGTATATATATGTATATATATATATATATATGTATATATTTATATATATATAAATATATAAATATATATATATATATATATATATATATATATATATATATATATATATATATATATATTATATATATATATATATATATATATATATATATATATATATATATATATATATATATATATGTATTGACACCATGATAATTAAACTTTTTTTCTTTTTTTTTTTTTTAGTCGATTGGACTTGTGATAGGTGTTAGTATAAAAGATTTCAAAAAAACTTCGACTGTTGCAGTTATTTTCTTCCTAAGTAACCTTCTACTAGGAGGTTTCTATAGCAAGCGATTTCCACCATGGTTTAAATGGAGTAAATACATATCAGTTTACAGCTACATTTACAACATCTTTTTGAGAATTGAGTTTGAATATGCTAAGGAAGAGTTTAAGTATATGCTTTATTCATATTATTATTATATAATTAGTATAATTGTAAAGTTATAGCAAAATGTTATATGCTATTTGATTAGTATATAATTTTTTAAATTTAATGACTAAATATTTTTCTTAGTAAACTATCTACAATTTTCAATAGTTCATGTGCTTTTTTTCTTAAATGTGACACTTCACATAAAAGCTAGACAATTTGATCAAACAATAAATATTTCTATTTTGGTCAAACAATAAATAGTTCTATTTTGATCAAACAATAAATAGTTCTATTTTGATCAAACAATAAATAATTCTATTTTGATCAAACAATAAATAGTTCTATTTTGAATCATTTTTTGATCAAATTGCTTAAAACTTGATCAAAAGTTAATTCAAAATTTTTTCTAAAATGTTTAAATTATTTTTCTAAAATAGTTTAAACATTTTAGAAAGCTTACTTCAATCAGTATTATTCGATATTTTATGTTAAATTTAGATCAATTGAAAATATCTTGTATTATATTATTAAATATCTTTTTTTTTTTTTTTTTACTTAGAAAGTTGCTTTTATTACGATCAGTTAAAATTTGGTTTTAAATTGCATTTTCTCAAAAACAACTTAATCTATTTTAACAGTTTTTTTTTAGATGTCTACATTTCAGACATTTTAGTTTTAATTTCAATTTAAAAAAATTAGGCTTCAACTTATTAACATGCAAGTAATTGAATTTTTTTTTAATGTTTTTCCCGTCAAATCCAAAATTTGACTTAGTCTCACTTTTTTGTAGCATTAACCCATTAATCTTGGAATTTTTCAACACTTTTTGCCTCTTATTGTCAGTATTCCCCTCACTACTGCCCAGTAAGATTTGATGGCTTGCTGCTCAGAACAGTTCGATAGTTTAGCATTCTTTGGAACTACATTGATTTTTCTTATGCCAATCATTTATGTTTTTTAATTAAAAGGAGATGTTTTTTTAACCATTCAGTCACATATAGATCTATTTTCAAAGTTTGATTTGTTATGAATAGAGGGTTTTAAACCACAAATCCAAACAGCCTGTCATTTAAGGAACTTGAGAGCGAATTTTTTGATGCGAATGTACTTAATTTTCTTAGACACTTTAATAATGTTTTAATTGATAATAGTATTGGTTACCTGGAAGCGTTGAGTGATCTTTTTTTACAGTAAATTTCATTGTGTTTTAAAATGCCCAATTTTTTTTTTATATTTAAAATTAAACTTTTTTATAAAAAGAAAATTTAACAGTAATCTTAATGCTTCTGCAAAATCGATAAATGAAAGATTGTTTTGTTTTGAACACATTTTAAAACCATTTTAAACACATTTTAAAATCATTTTATAAATATCGCAAATTGCCTGGTTTAGTCATAAAGTATGACATGTTTTTCAAAAAAAAATTCAATTTAGTCATAAAGTATGACATGTTTTTCAAAAAAAAATTCAATTTAGTCATAAAGTATGACATGTTTTTCAAAAAAAAATTCGATTTTGTTTTATTACTAATTTATTTCAACAGATCACATAATTGTGTCACACTGAGTATGTTGTGTCATGCTGAGTATATCATGCCATACTGTGTATGTTGTGCCATACTGTATGTTGTGTCATACTGGGTATGTTGTGCCATACTAAGTATGTTGTATTTTACTTAGTATATTGTGTCATACTAAGTATGTTGTGTCGTACTGAGTGTGTTGAATCTTACTGAATATGACATGTTTATTTAAGTGCAGTGTTAGATATAATATTTTTGTATTAAACAATATCTAATTGCAGCATTAAGTTCACATATTCTGACTTTAAATTTGTTATTCTTGTTTCATATTTAGATTTAAACCAAGGTTCAGCTAAGCAATTTAGCAGTCCTAAACATTCTAAGTAAATATTCATCATCTTCAACTCATTTGCTCACTTTTTCTAAAGTTTGGTAAAAGTTTCTATTAAATTCCCTACCATCCTTCCTCCATCATGCTGGTCAATATTTGTTACTTGTAATTTTACACAGGTTTTTTTGAATAATTTAAAATTTTCGTAAATTTTTTAAAAGGTTTGTTATCAATTACATGGTTAACTGTCTTTTCCAAATTTTGGATCTTTGACTTGTCATTCAGTTAAGTTATAGTGCAGGTGGTGAGATCTGTTACAAGGACACGCCCCTGACGAGTGGCATTAGTGCAGGTTTTGGGCTGTCCGAAACGTCATTGGTGATCGCAGTGCATTCCTGAGGAGGGGGATCACCATTTATCCACTACTTAATTCTAATTGGTTATTATAGTACCAACATTTTTTTAACTCTTATACCCATGATTTTTTGCGCTTTGTGAGCTTTTTTTTATGAGTTTGTTACATTAACGACATTTATATATTTTTATGTTACACAGGTGATTATCAGTTTTCAGTTATCTAGAATTTATACCATAATTAGTACTATACTTTTTAGCCTATTTTTTCTTTTTATATTACCCAAACTATCATTTATTATAATTTTACTGACTATTTTGTTATCTACTTATTTTATTGTTTTTGTACGATTATTTTAGTTATGGTGGCCATTAATAAACCAGCGGGTTTATATTGACTTGTTTACTTATAGATCATTGTCTTATCATTTAAGCTAAGGATGACTAGAGTGTGAGTTATGGTTCCCTTCTTTCTGAGTCGCTAATTTTATTCCTCTTACAAAATAGTCTTTACATTCATTTATGATTATTGACATCATCTACAATCTACTTCTATTTTCACATCTCCAAGGTCTACGTAACTGGACGGTTCCGTTGGTCACTTTTTGCGATCATTGTGTCGCATATATAAATAATATTTATTCCATCAACCAAAACTCCTGCGTGACTTGTCATTCAGCTAACTTACATCCTTTCATAATTTAACTTTTTTTTATGTTTATCTGACTCATTAAACTGGTTATTACACTGACTCATTACACTGGTTATTACAGTTTTTTAATCTTCTGTCAAGTTTTTGCCTTTTTTTGCAATTTTTTGCTAGTTATTTATATCAGTTTTTTGCGTAATTTTTAAATAACTCATTAAAGTTAGTCAAAACTTAATCCATTTTCTCCATCAACAGCAATTTCAACCAACTTTGTTTGGCAGAAGTCACGCATTTAAAAATCAGGAATGCTCTACAAAAAAAAGTTTTATCTATTTCATTGCTTTTTATATTCTCTTTTCATAATCCTTAACTAGTTGGAGAAAATTATCCATATCAGAGACACACTCTATTATTCTAAATTTAAAAATAACTTAGCTTTAGATTTCTTAACACAGGCTCAAAAACAGTTCTACAATTCAAGTGACACGATCATTTGGTATCACACGTTCTAAAGCATTTTGGCTATTCTCACACGTTTTGCTATTTTATTACCTTGTTGTTTCAAAATTTCATAATATAAAACTTACGTTATGTTGATAAACTAAATGAACTACATCTCGGATCAATAACTGCAATTTTAGATGTTTTAAGACTAGATTTCTTTTTCAGTACTCCTACCTATTATCTTGCTATCTTGCATTTTTCTTACTGGTTAAATTATTAATTTCTATGAGCATATTAGGTTAAATGTCGCAAAATGTCGCAAAAAAAAAGTCACGAAAAAAACTAAAAAAAACTTACAAAAGTAAACTACGTCTAATTATTTTGTTTTACGTGGGTCATAAAACAACTGGCAATGCTTCAGTTATCAACGATAAATCTATTCTTACGATAACTCTGTGATAAAAGTGTAATACACACATATAAAACTTGCAATTCTTAGTAGAATTGTGGCAAATGTTTGTTTGGTGTATGACTCAACTTTTTTAATGTTTTTAGATGTTCTACGATTTCAGAATTTCGCGAATGTCGTAACAATAACAGAACGCACATGACTGGGCCCGAGTTAATGGCTTATATAAAACCAATAGATCTTGATATTATGCAAAGTGTTTTTGTAATATTTGGTTTGTCCATTGTTTTGAGGATATTATTTTATTTTGTACTAAAGTATTTAAACAAAGGTAATTAAAATAGTCATTTTAGTTGTGAACTATTTATATTTGCTTTTAATTTAAAAAAATAAATAAATAAATAATAAGTATAAAGTGTATTCAGTGCAAGCTCTAATTACGACAAACCTAGTGACACGTCAAGTTCATTTTAATTTGTGTATCAAAAGCGCCCTCTTGTTTTTCCTGATGAAAGAAATTATGCTAACAAATTTGTTCGATGTTTTAATACTGATTCGTGTTCTTCGACACGTTTTAAAAAGTAGATTTCATCCACGTTATCAAATTATAGTAGGTGTCATCTGTGTTTAATGAGTTCCAAAATTTCGTAGTTTAGCATTTATTCTAAATTTCGAATCAGTATTTTTCAGTTATTAACGTAACATTGTTTTATAAAAGGTATCAGCTTGTCTTTCAAAACATCATTAAGGAAAGTTGGGGCACAGTGGATCGGATTTCTTTATTTTTTAAATTGAGCTAAAGTTAAAACATGTACTTTATTTTTTTTAAGGCAAAAGGATTAAGAAATATGTCCTTCATGATAATAAATCACTAAAACCCAAATATTTATTATCTATCCGCTCACAGAAAAGTTTAAAGTGAATTGTGTTTTGTTATTCACTGTAGCCCAGTACTGGGGCACAGTGAATAAATGAATGATAGTGAATAGGGGCATAGCCAAATAACTTTAAGGCTCAGGGAGTAAAGACACTGTACTTTGGGCATACTTTTATTAATTAAATTAGTATAATTAATCTTTAAGATCATTAATTGGGCATAGTGGAACAACCTATTTACTGTGCCCCACCATAACAAATTAAGTTCAAGTCTAATCTCTTGATGTTAAAAGAAAAGCTAAACCAATAATCCGAATGAAAAAATTCAATTTTTAAAATTATTTTGAAACTTCTGAACCCTTGATGATTTTTTGATCAAACTTTAAATATAGATACACATTTGAATTTTATTAAAGGTAGTAACTTTTTTTCTTTCGAAAAATTGTTTTCCCTCTCATTTGGGCGGGTGATGCCTACTACTTGGGGTATTTGTTTCCCAGGCTCTAATCAACACAATTTTCGGCAAAGCATTATTAAATGACATAAGTATGAGCATAAAAAGGTTTATAACTTTTGGAAGTATGAACATAAAAAAGTTTAGATCTTACCTGAGAGTTATTTAACTCAAGCACAAAAAAATCCTGGATGCACCCCTGCACCTTCCTATCTTATTGTATCTTTACCGATGAAGTTCTACAAACTTCTCTAATGACCTAGTTAGATATATATACATATATATATATATATATATATATATATATATATATATATATATATATATATATATATATATATATATATGTATATATACATATATATATATATATATATATATATATATATATATATATATATATATATTTTATATATATATATATATATATATATATATATATATATATATATATATATATATATATATACATATATATATATATATATATATATATATATATATATATATATATATATATATATATATATATATATATATATATATATATATATATATATATATATATATAAGAACTTAGCATGGCAACTACGCACTGAATGCAAAAAACAAAACGCATCTCTATCTGCAAAACAACAACAATGTTCGTAATACGAAGCAACAAGATCAAAGAAATTACCCAAACCAGAGAGACACTAATTCACCAACGTCTCCAATCGACCACACCAACAAACGACCAAACACTCGACTGCAAACCATCTTTCAAAACCCAGTACACTCCTGAAACCAACTCAACAAGTAATTAATAGCCAACAAACTCGACATCAAATAACCACAACAGACAACGTACGGCGACTTTAGTATGCCAAAAATCTCTTCCGATAAGCCAAAAACCAAAATTACAACAACCAACACAACCAAAAGCGAGCCCAAAAGAACTCCTCTCTGGACCAATAACCCTTGCTCACTTAATGGTCAAAAAATTAATCAACTAAGAGCCAAAATTACCACAATAGACACTTTACTTCAACCACGCATAACTTTGATTACCGAAATTTGTTTCACCGACACATCGTACACAAAAATGACAGGGTACCAACTGTTCCATAAAAACAGGATCGGAAGAGGAAGAGAAGTGGCCATCTACACAAAGTAAAACCTTGATTGTTCTTTCACATGTGCAACAGTCTCAGTCCTCAACCTCGTCGGAGGTGGCATCGCGGCTGTTGTATATGTACAAAACAAATAGCCAATAGATAGCAAATTTCAAAATTGTCTCAAAGAAAATTTAAGCTTATAACTTTTTGAACCAATCACAGTTCTCGTGAGGAACCTCCAAAAAATTCTCTTGACTTGATCCTGAACAACAAAACAGACCGATTAATCAACATAAAAGAAGCTTGTCCTCTCGGCTACACAGCTAAAGGTCAGACAAACTGTCTTATTAAAGAATGTATAGCTCTCTCCGACATAAAAATTAAAGAACTCCAAATAACCGAATCTATTAAAAATGTCTGATCTTGAGCAAAGACGACTACAACTCAATCTCTACGCATATCGAAACATTCAACTTGCATTTGACTCTTGATGGCTAGAAAATTACCTAAAAATATCAAATATTTAATTGACAAATACAACGAATAAACCTCATCACACGTACCGTCAACGACTACCCATTAAACTAACAAGCACAAAACATGGGTGACCAAAGATGTTGCAAACGCTGTCAAATTGAAAAGCGAACTCTGGGGCAAATTTATCGCAGCTAGCCGAATAAACAAGCCAATTCTACGCGAACAGCATAAAAAGCAAGCAAAGTTGTAAAAAAACTAGTTTAGTCAGTAAAAAAATTAGTAAACATTAGCAGGCATAACTCAAAAATCATCCACTTGTACGTCAAAAGCAAACAAGAAGCACACGACCGCATCCGTCAACTTGAAACAACTAATAATCAAACCACAACAGATCCTAAAGTAATCTGCAGCACACTCGCATCATACAAGTCTTTTAAAGAAAAACTGTCGGAACTGAACAAAATTAAGTCAATGGGCTTCGACAGCACCTAAAATACTGTGCTACAAGCTTTGTTATTCAGCTAAACATTATATTTTTTGAATCGCTTAAAGCAGCGAAATGCCGTCTCAATAGAAGAAAGTCGAAGTTATTCTTATCTTCAAAAAAGGCTGCAAGTTGAACCCCTCAAGTTATCAACCTGTCTCACGCACTTCTGTCCCTTGCAAGGTAATGGAAAGCCTTGTACACAGACACATTACTGACCACTGGAATAAAAATAAACTCATCAGCTCTGCTCAATACGGGTTCCGAATGGGTAAAGGTTGTGTCAAAGCTACTCAAAACTTACAATATCCTGACTGAAGCTGCCCGCAAAGGTTACTCAAACGATATCATTTTCACAGACTTTGCTAAATCATTTGACAAATTTTCAGCACCGTTGTCTGTTGCATATCTGAAATCTTACGGAATGTCCGAGAACTTACACAAATGGATCAAAAGCTGGCTAACCAATCGCCTACAACGTGTAACTATTGTTAACAATAAATCAAATTGGAAAACAGTCTCTAGCGGTCTGTCAAAAGGATCTATTCTTGGATCACTCCTTTTCCTTTCATAAATTAACAATTTGCGCGACAAAATACAACACCACTTTAAAATGTATGCAGATGACTGTCAAATAATCCAAGTTATTGAATCGAACCATGGTATCATAAAACTCCGAGCCGATATCAACGAAGCAGTAAAGTGGTCGCACACATGGCTTATGTCATTTAATGTTGACAAGTGAAAAATCATGCACATTGGACGCATCAACAACAATAAGTCGACTGCAATTTATACAATGGATATCTTGGTAGACTAACTGCACCAGCTATCATGCACGTCATCTAAACGAGACCTAGGCGTTTTTATGACTAACGATCTAAAAGTTAAAATACAAGTCTGCGCGGCTGCATCAGCTGGTAACCAAATGCTTGGCAGTTTCTGGATTATGACGCACACTGTATACACTGTACGTACCTCCACACCTAAAATTTGTAATAAAAGCCACCATTTTTGGCTCAACTGTTTTTAAAACACCTTCCGTATTTAAAACACGTTCCGTTTCCGTATTCCGTATTTCGTATTCCGTATTCCGTATTCCGTTCCGTATTCCGTTTTTATACTCAGAGACTATCAAGTCTTAACCTGACAATACTAAATGAACGAAAAAAAAGAGGAGACCTTATCAAGCAATACAAAATCATGAGCAAAATAGACAAAAATTATTTTCAGGTCCCCATTTTCAACCAAACATCGAGTCTTCTTTGGCTGCGTGGACACACTAAACAACTAAAACCATAACTTGTTCGAAACTGCACTGAAAGAAACAATTTCCTCACCGACTTTGTTGTAAAAGTATGGAATTCTTTAACCCAAAATGCGGTGGACGCATAGAATCTAAGAATGTTCGTGTTTGATCAATTTCAAACACGAACTTTCTTAGCTCGGGCGTCTTCACTTTAGTTAGGATCAAAAAACTGTATTTTCATAACAGAGAGGCCTGGTGTGTCGCTATTTGTCAACAAATTGTAAATTTTGTTGGCGATGAATAAACCAAGGTAAATAAATATATATATAGAAAAAATATATATTTATTTAAAATATATACTTTTAATAAAAAGTATATATATTTTTTCTTTATTATTCATTCTATTATTATTCATTATATTACTATTCAGTAATAAAAAAAAAAAAAAAAAAAAACACAATAAATGCCTTGTATAATAAAAATAGAACATTGAAGTTTCCAATTAGGTCGAAACTAGTTTCATTGAAGTTATAAAATGCAAGATGTAAGTTAAGGCAGAAGAACCCACAACATATTTATTATCTGTGTCATTCATAGCCAAAACATTTTTGGAGTTCACGCAAAACCTTCGTACAGGCTAAGTATTACTTCTGAAATGAAGTTACTGTTGTATCATCGCACAAAAATTGACTTTAAACATGATTTCATCAAGATATCGTTAAACATGCAGGGAAAGACGTTAAGATATCATTAAACATGCAGGGAAAGACG